AATCAGCATTTTTTGGTTTTTTGTCTATTAACATATGTTCCCCCCCCCCCCCCCCCGTGAAACACAAAAAGCTTTGGCATAAATTTGTAAAATGACAGTCCATATTACCAATAAAAAGTAATTTTTGTTTCACCGGGGGGGGGGGAGATGTTTTAAAAATATTTTCCGTTTTCCATTGATTTCTATAGTGAAAAACTCAAGTTTTACCAAAATTTCTAGAGTTATCTCTCTTTGGTATCCCCAAAAAGTAACGTTTTATTAAAATTCATATAAATATCTATAAAAAAATTTGAAAATCATTCAAATATTTTAACTTTTGAGAATTGACTTAGAGGTAGGCGGGAGAACAATACTATCGTTCGTGGTTCTTGCCGTGTTATATAGAGCGGAAATAGGACAGAATTCAACTGCGAGAGATTGAGTAATTCGAAAAATCGGAGTTCGAGCCATCGAGAGTCACCTGTAAAACTCAATAAATAATTCTAAAAAAAATGTTACTTAATTCTCAAAGAAATAATTCATGCGTGTTTACCCATAATGATTTTAAATGCTTTTCATTATCGATCATCAATCATTTCTATAGGAAAACCTATTAACTCCTCAAGATAGATTTTAGGAAACGCGAATATAAACTATGCATTTTCATATAAATTGGATCAACAAATATATTTGAGGACAATAAGCTATAGGTATTCATGGGCATTCTGGAGAATTTTTTTGTAACAAATTTCACAAATAATCAGATAATCTATTTGCTTTAATTGTTATTTTTTAGTTTTACATGTTTATAAATATGTTTCAACCACCATTTGACCCCCAGATTGAAAATGAAAATTCCAAAACCTTTTGCAAATCTACAGAATACCTGCAAGCACCTTGCTAAGGATAAAATGGCTACGTCGTTAAATGAACCTGCCGACCTTTGCAAAAGAAATTACAGGAAGAGAAAGTGCTACTGACGGAATTTTTGTAATGTAAATGTAAATGATTGAAAATACTTTGTTTGTAACAGGTAATAATTGAATTATAAATAATTGAATAGTTTAATCGGTTACTCTCAGGATAACAACATTATAATTAAACTTTCTTTATAAAGTGTGTGGGTAACAAGCATTATTTTAAAACGGTTGTTGTCAAATACATAAGCCAAAACATCATCCTTCATCCTCTAGCCAAATCATCGTGCTTTAAAAGCCCATAAAAAGAACATTTAAATTTCAGATTTAAGGTAGGATTCTTCTCTGGTTTCTGACTAGATGAAACATTCAAAGTATATTTGCTTACATGTCTTACATATTGATGTGTAAGGAATTTAAAAGACCATATCTTTCTTTCCTCATCAGAAATGTACAACTTTAAATAGAAATAGTAAACTGCGTTTGAAAACTAGCAGGGACTATATTTTTGGAGGAATGGTGGCGTATGAAAATATCTTCTTTTCTGCCTCTCAAAATTATAATAGAACGATGAAATTAGTTATAATTTTTACACAGTCAAAGACTTGGAGAAAATTTCAAATGTAAGTTAAATCAATAATGGACTTAACTTTCAAAATATATCAAATAAATATGATTTTTTAAACAAACTAGAACTTTGTTAGCTTTTAAACGCTTCCTATCAAAGTAAAGGTTTGAGCCAAAAAACAATAAAAAGTATTTTTTCTCTCTTAGTAAACGATCAAAACTTTATGTTTTTGTATCATTTTGTACATTTATAAGACTACTTTATTATATGTGAAAATAAGAAAAAGTTAAATATAGGAAGCATATGAAAATAACTAATATATCCTAAAAATTTAAGAAAAGCAGAGAAAATTCGGATTAGCCAATACCCAGTTAAGTAAAATTATTTATGTAAATTTGGTAATATCATGCTATAGACCCGATATAGTAATATGTTTTTATGCAAAAAGAACAATCATTAAACTTTTGAAATAGATGTAGGTATCACATGATTGGCAACAGTATTTTTTTATTCTTAATGTCAAGGAAAAAGATAACGACCTTGACCTGACCTTGCCTCTAATATAAAACGGTCAAATTTAATTTCACTGATACTATCACTTACTGATATTGTATTCTTGATTCTGTGAAAATTTCATTAATTTTTAAATATTAGAAATATGAGAAGAATCCTACCTTAAGATTGACGGTGCTTTTTTTTTGAAAGATTTCCAAAAAGCTTAGCTGCAGATCTGTAGCTCTGGTTTGTCTTTCCAAATTTTTTCAACCAGAGAGCTACAGATCTGCAGCTATCAAAAGTTATGGACAAGGTTAAAGATGTTTCGGACAAATAGAATAACAGCTAATCAGACAGACGGACGGACGAACGGACTATAAACTAAATGCCTTCGAATCTTAGATAATGAGATAAAAGGTGGAGATAAATGGTGAATGGTAATTGTTATCTACAATATTTGATGTATTTATCATTTTTAATAACCAATTACAGTCCAAAGTATTTTCTAAATTTAACCTTTTTGACCTTGATTAGGTGACTCAACAATTTAGTATATCATACTAATCATTAACACATTGAAATTATATCAATACATTATTCTCCATAGAAATCTAATGAGTGTATTCTAATGAATTTTGATTTTTACAGATTCACACTCATTGTTAATTTACCATATATCCTTTTCTCATGTATAGTCAATTTTCATGATGCGATTGGGAAATATACGATAATGTCATTTTCCTTACTTTATTCTGAATTACAAGGGGCGTTCAATAAATAATGTCTTTGGGGCTCGGAAATAACAAAAAACGCTTTTCTATACTTAGTCTTACTGATTCAACTAAAATATTCTCTTTTAATTAAAACACATTTCCGTGACATTTTCATTCAATTTCTAATTGTTTTTCGAACATATTTTCGCGGATGACCCTTCGTATACTGGAATATGGTAGATCCAATGATATGCTGTACTTGTTTTTTCTTTCTGATAGATTTTTTTGAAAGTTTGGGAAATGAAACGAGTCAAAGGTTGAAAGATCTGGCAAATTTTGTTGGTGTGACAAAACATTAACTTTCTGTTTATCCCCATAACTCCTTTACTCTTCATGGTCTGTGGGTTTGGACGCTGTCATGAAAGAAATTTAATGTAGTGAATTCCTCATTCTGTTTCATTCCTCTCATAAACCTTTCAATTTTTTTGCAAAACAAAATGTTTTCTAGACTCCTCTATAAATTGAACTTCCTCCCCGAATATGAATTTAAACAACAAGACCGCTAATATTTAAGAAAATAGCATATAAAACTGTTTTTATGCTCTTGTAATTCTTTACTCTTCTTACCCTTCGCAGTTTTGTCATGTGAATCTTATTGTAAATTTGTTTTAAGGGTTAAAGCAAAATGGATTCAAGTTTCGTTATCTGTTAGAATTTCAGACAAATCTGGATAAGTACAATATTCAATTTTTTAAAAATAATTGTTTGGATATTCCTACACGCTATCGTTTTCACTCATTTTTCAAAATATACGGTGACCTTTGACTATTAAACTTTTTTACTATAAAATGTTTCTTTAAAACAGTGTGAACTACCCCCAAAATTATTTTTATCAATTTTGCTAATAGTATGTCTCTTAAAGTCATTAAAACATAATCAGTGATGATTTGTTGAATTTTCGCAAATTTACATTGGTTGTTGTAAGTCATTGTTGCCAAGGACGGTACCCATTTTTGATGCCCATTATATAATTCTTGTTCATTGAAATCTTCTTGTTCACGTGTCTATAAAACAGGCATTGGTTGCTGTAAATTTCACATATTTCAGTTAATATATATTTGGGAAATTTACAAGTTTTACAGCTGCTTTAATGAAGCATTTAATTTTACTCTAGTTTACTGATTCTTGACCATTCATTTTTAATGCGGTGTCTCGAAAAGCCCTTGTTTTCTAGCTTCCCACAATGAAATAATGCGATGAAAAGTGGTCACACAAACTGTTATCAATATATTAAAGATTCAATAATGAGAAAAAGTCAAGCTTAATGTCATATGACTTCTATGTTGTATGTCACCGAGCTAATGACATTATTTATTGAACGTCCCTCGTACATGATTTCAGTTGGGAGGGAACAAAAAATGCATTGAAATGAATAAAATAGGAGAACATTTATGTAGTACATTTTAGGTTTTCTATCGTTTATTTATTGACAAATTATTTTTTGCGGAGGGGGGGGGGGGTCATCGTTCCGTCTGGCCTAATTTAGTCCAAAGGATTGTTCTATCACTAAAAACCGTTTATCTTTAAATATCCTTAGGCTTTTAGCAAAAATATATACTGTCACGATTTACACTTTAGACTTATGACATGTATCTAGTTGTCTTAAGATTTTGATAGATCTTAAGATTATCATAAGATATGACAGTTTTGTGAAACAGCTATGGTGCAATCTTAAGATAATTTTCGGTCTTAAGACAGATCTTAGTCATAAGACAGCTTTGTGAAACTGGCCCCAGGATCAGATGACAAAATTTCGTTCCCCCAAGAGATAGCTTTTTCATGATTCCTCATTGTTAAATTTACAAATATAATGACGTGCATGTGATTTATTATTTCATCTATAAAGCAGACTAACAATGTGCATATTATTTACTTAATTTAAAGCTCTTTTTATTTGATTAAGTAGTATAAGACGTAATGTAAACAGTTCAGGAGAAATTGACAGCCTTAAGTTTGTTCTTAATTGAAGTGAAGTTAAGAACATATATGTTTCACAGTGATACATGTAACAATGTGCTTCTCCATATGACGAAAATTAGACGTCATTAACAAAACAGCAACAGTAACTAATTAAACGGTTAATTTTTTTTTTATTAAAAATAAAATCTAACAAGGATGCATATCAGTTAAGAGAATTGTAAGTAATTCTAGCATTACATTACATTGATTTTATTTTTAACAAACAATATTTAACATATAAAATGCTTTTATTTTGACCAGGTGGTAGAAAAAAATAAGCATATGGTAAAGTTTGTTTGGATTATTCAGATTGTACATGTACCTACCCAACGGACCTTCAGAATGGAGTCTGGTACGACAGCAATAAAGGTCAGCTGACTTATACAGCTAATCAGATGACAGGTTACACCTACTCATCTTATAATTCTGGAAGTTCAGTATGGACCTGCCACTTAATAGAAGGCGACTACGTCGTGTCAAAGTATGTAAATTATGTCTATGAAGCTTTTGATAGAATATTTTATATTTGCCAGGATTGAACTTTGAAAATTTTCTATCATATTAACCAACATATGTTGGTTTATAACTAATGCTCGTCTGCTAGATTAATGGATTAAAGGCAGGTAACTGACAAATTAGTTGATGATAAAGGTTAAAACATTATCCAGGGATAGACTGAGGCATGCATTCATATTCCAGTATGGTTTATATGTACTACGTTATTCGTAAGATTTGAGTCATTTAAACTACTGTACTTAGCCTTTGTTAGCGACCCTCTGTAACATTAAAGTAGTTGTACTTATGAAGTCAGCGTATAAAGTGATGAACAAAGACCTTACATTAAATTTTTCAATATTTAGCAGCTCAAATTAAAACAAAATCTTTTTATACTTTTACCATATATACAAATGAAGGCAACTAATTGGTGTTTACCAATATTATAGTACGTTTTTAATATTTTTCGAAAGTTTCATTGGTCTCTTTCATACAGTTGTATTTTTGCTTTTACATTATTAATTACAGAGCCGGCAGTCCGATAGATGTCTTTGGTTCTAACTTTGATGCTTATATATGTCAGCTGATGACTAAAATAACAAGTTATTCCTATTCCTATTATATAGAAGGAGGTAATATTATTTTTTTTCTCAGTTACTAAAGTGATAAATAGAATGATGAGATATTTTGAGTTATCATTTCGTTTGCTTTTACTAGAATATAGCTTTTGTGCTTAATATTCCTAGATAACCAAGCAAATGCAAATGGTGAACGAATGAACATTTTTATCACCGGATCATCTGTGACAGTAGCTCAAGCGTGTAATAAAACAGCTTCAATACCAACAGAAGAATTTCACGTTCTCGTCAAGTCCAGTATGTATTGATCGAGAATGACAGTATTTTGAGAGGTACACTGTGGCTCATGTGTTTAATGTGTTATAAATTAATTTTCTTTACTTATAACTTCTACAATCCAATGTCAGTATCAGAGAAAAAAAAATGTTAATTTGGAAAAGAAACAAACGTTTATCTTTTGCCATCTTTTGATCTGCTTTGCAATATGGTTACTGCATTTTAGTCATATAATATTCATAAATCAATGATTAAAAACGAATGAAAAGCTTTTTCTTTGAACTAATCTTACAATTTGGACCTTAATCTTTTGATTATTATTCTCTCAATGAATAAAATTATCTGAATGAAATGAATTATAATAACATTATTATCTAAAAATATCTCAGGAACTTTGTTCTCATCTGACTCCGTGGTATTTGACTATTGTACAACCCATTTATTTCTTGCAGCAAATATGGCAGACGTCAAACAATGGCTGCCAACACCGTTGCTAGGCACATTTGAGTACACAAAAGTAACGTCTGCTGGTGTTTCTTCCTGTGGTACAGGATCTGTCTGGGACGTCTGCAATAACCGAACGACCATGACCTTCAACATGACACAGTGCAATTCAATAGTCGCTTATTCTCGTGAGTATGATGTATGATGTTCATAAAATCAAAGTTGGACTCCTATTTCATGCACTCAAAATTCTCAGAATTAGAACTTACTGTTGGTATCCAAATACTTAAGATAAGGTTAAAAAGTAATGATTCTCAATTTCCTTTCTCAACTTTTGACCCTAAAGGTGATGTAAACAGTTTCCAAAGTTCTAATTCATTTGCATTAGTATGATTATTTTCACAGAGGGAGAAGTTTACGGCGTGACCTCTGTGACAAAGGGGTCAACTTATTACGCTTTGGTTGTGAATCCAGGTACTGCTGATGATTCTACATATTTCCGATTTACCTGTATGGTAAGTATCTGTTTTCCCAAGATAATTCAAGTACATAAAATAATTATATTTGTTCAAAAAAGAATGCAAAGATCTAAGAAATCGTTTAAAATGGGAGATAATGGAGCATAGAAGAGATACAATGTATTTATTTAAGGTGTCGGGATTTAAACTATGAAATGGTCATGGAGATGTGTTTCTTGATATCTTTTAAGGCTGTTACACAATCAGGGTCCACTGTAACAGTGGTAGAGAAGAGCGGAAGTTGTGGACCTGGACAAAACACTACGTTGGCTGGATCTGGAGGTTCCAAGTATACCATGACACCATATGGTACGATTGTCGATTTTTTGGGCCAACGATTAATAAAAGCTTAACAAATAAATAAATGTTCATACATTCATTTGTATTAGACAAATGAGAAAAAATATATACAGTGGCTGCTACGTTATTGTTGACAACCAATCGTGCAGAATCGTTCGTGTGTCGTGCGTGATCGTTCGTGTAACGTGCGAGATCATGCGTGTATCAGACTCAATCGTTTGCGGTTTTAATCGTGCGTGATCGTGTGTTTAGAAACGTGTAAATTTCGTTTTGTAAGTTTCTATCGGAATGTTATGTGTTAATCAAGTTTTTCCTTAGTCTTTATTTTTATTTAAATCCAAATAAAATGAATGAAGCGTAATTTACATAATTGAATGCAGAACGAATTAATTATCGCTTGTAAACAAGCAATATAGTAAGTCGTACAATATTATGTTCTTATCAAATACCGTGACCTATTGTGATCGATAAACTGTACTTAGATATTTAATGGGTTTTTTTTTCTCTGATGTCCATTCTTGATTACTGCTAATTGTGGTCAAGACATTTTTAAAATCAATACATCAAAAATAAATATTTTTACAAATAAATAAACATTTCTCAATGCGTACATGCACACGACATTATTTTCGGGGTTTTGTTTATCAGTGTTTATCTCTGAAGCTTACTTTTAATTAATTATTAAAATTTCTGCAAATAAAAAAAAATGATTGGCAAGATAATTTTCAGAGATTCTCAAAAAATGGAACATGTGGATATAACTTGTAATTTAAGTCATTCCATGCCGCCATTTTTTAAAATCATATCGCCCTAAATTCTGCACATTATGAAATCCAATTCAATAAAATTTTACGGTCCACCTGGTAGACATGTACATACGTGTAGAATCGTGTGCTTGAAGGATCGTTCGTGTAACAGGTTTAATCGTGCGTTAATCGTGCGGAATCGTTCGTGTAACGTAATCGTTCGTGTAAGTTGTCAACAATAAAGTTGCAGCCATTGTAGAAAGAAAAAGAAAGACTTGGTTTAACAAATAAAACAAATCGGTAGAGAAAATAAAAACCAGTGATCGAAGATCTTACAATGCTCTCATACAAAAATACGAGGGTCGTTCAATGAATAAAACAACATATATCATATATGCAGAAACATTTGATTTTATCACGATTAAAATGCTATATTTATTAAGTACTTTGTATCACCCTAAATCGCTTGCGTTTTTTTACAGACTTCATAGGAACTTTTATTTTAAAGTAAGCATGTTTTTACACCGAGCTGAAAACTAGTTAAGAAGAAAACGAGAACTCTTTTGAAAGACGTTCCCTTGATGTGAGAAAGACAAGTCTTCCATACCGTACAGTTTTCACGTGTATTAAGAAATTCACAATTAAAAAAAACCCAAATAGGACCATCAAGGTAGCTAAAATGTGAAATTTGCATTGAGGAAAGTTAAGCAGATTTTTCATAAGAAATGTTCAAATATCAGACCCCTAGGGTAATTTTCTTGAACTTGACAATGCTGCTACAAACAAGATAGAAATATATCCTTTAAAGAAAATTTTGAAGAAAGAAACGTTGACATATCTAAGCCGTTGCCCGTATTCGCCACTTTTCCGACTTATTGAAATTTTTTACCTTTCAATACGTAAGAAAAACATCAAAGGAAGACGTTACAATTTCAAGTAAAGCATGGCGAGATGAGTATGTTCTGGCCATGGATTGAAAGAAATTAGACGTCCGCAAAAAGTCAAGAGGGAATCTTTTGAGGAATTAAAGTATATTTAAGAAATGTTTCTTGTATGACATTTTGCATAACTTGTTGAACGACCCTTGCTTTTTTCAAACAAGATGATAATTCCTCATGATCACGATTTTTTGTAGGTTTTATATGTTACTATCAATCTGGAAAATATGCCCTTTGTTACATATGAATAAGGGCAATTTAAACTTAAAGTTATTTGGCTCACTTTTGTTATCAAAGAATGGAAAAAAAAATATTTCTGCACGTAAAGGATAACGACTTGATTATAATTAATAAGAAAATAATAGCTTATTTATTTGGGTATTTCAAATTACTAAATCACCAAGTTATAAAGAAAAGGTTCTAAAGATATAGAAATTTCACTGTAAAAACCATTTAAATATTATACAGAAGAAATTATAATTAACACGATAATGATCATTTGGTTTTAGACTCAGTAATTTCTTTCCCACGGTTCAAAATACTTCGATTTGAAGTTTAAAAATTACTCTTCGTTGATTACAATGTGTGAATGCACGTCTATATTTAGATATGGGGATTTTGTTGTGTTTTATGTGTGTGACAAAGCATAGACCTAAAGTGCAATTTAGGCATGTTCATAGTAATAATTCAAATAGTTCTTATTTTTATCATTGCAGTAACCTGTCGTAAGTATGGCTTTGATTTACCTTGAAACAAACATAGGTTTCACAAACAAAGACCTCTGGCCCTTTTCACAAATCTTACGTCTTAGACAAAAAAATTCCTATTTTCTAATCATTATCTAATCTACTGAAGGACACAGAAATCTTAAGTTTCTGTTAATACATTGGATTACACGTGCAAATGCTATAGTGCTATTTTTCTTAATGAACATCTTTATCAGATATTTAAGATCAATATTGGCCAATTTTTTATCATAGTCGCAATATTTTTTTTTGTAAAAAGGACCTCTGATTCTGTTTTCATTTTATGTCTATTTTTAAAACACGTGTGTATACCAGTCGTTCTTTCGATAAATATTTTTATTTTGCCTCATATTAAATATTCTTCTTGATTGTGAATATTAGAATTTTAATTTATTATGATGTAAATGTGTTGTAAAGTGAGTACACTCTTTATTTTTTCAATTTAAAACAAATAAATCGATGAAAATAATAATAAAAGTTAAAATTTTGTCACATAATCTAAAATTGAATCAATTTTTTTAAGAAATTGTCACATAGGTAATGGAGCATGAAGCCTGAACTCACAGCAAAAAATATCATTTTGCAGCATTTACTACTGACAGCCCTGCAGAATCCAGCAGCAACACTGGTTTAATCATCGGTATTGTTATAGCTCTCCTCATTCTTATCGCAGCTGCTGTAGCAGGATTTATAATTTATAAGAAGAAGAAAAAGCAGATCCACACATATGACAAGAAACAGGAAGAAAACGCAAACGATCGTAAGTTCTGATTTCAATTTTCTCATCATGACAGTTTTCATCAACTCATTACTTAAAAAATCCTGAAATCTAATCACACTTTTAATTATTAGTCAAAGTATCAACACTTTATATTGTACTTTATTATATTTACTTTTTTTTCTTCTGGTGTATAAAGATATATGTTTTTATACGCCTTCAAAAGAATCATTGTGTTAAAACAAAAAAAGCTACATTTTGATACTTACACTCACACTTTCGTGTTTATTCTATAAAAGACATAAAAAGTATTACCAGATATGTGTGAAACATGCATTTCATTTTAGTTGTAAATAATGTGCCATCCTTGGCATTTTTTCTTGTGTAATCAATCAAAAGAAGTTTGAGAACTTTATCAATATTGACCTATATTTATTACTGCGACCTATATTTTAAAACTATGCTGTACTGCTAGTAAAATTTCTTGTAAAAATTGACTGTGCTTTCTTGTAATATAGAGGAGTTTTCTTAATTCGAGATCATGTTATAAGTTACTTTTATATACTTTTATCATTTTTAGCTCTACTGGTCAGAGACCAGAAGAGCTTATGCATTCCGTCTGATTTGTCTGTCTGTAAACAATTTTTCAAAATGCTACTCCTCCTACAGTTTTGGTCTGATTTCAATATAACTTGGCACACAAGTAGACTACACTAGGATACATAATTCTGTATATCGGTTTTTGATTTCGATGAACGGTGTTGCCGTGGTTACTAAAAATAGAAATTTCTGTGAAATTCTTTCAAAATGCTACTCCTACAGTTTTGGTCTGATTTCAATATAACTTGGCACACAAGTAGACTACACTAAGATACATAATTCTGTGTATCTTTTTGATTTCGATGATTGGTGTTGCCGTGGTTACTAAAAATAGAAATTTCTGTGAAATTCTTTCAAAATGCTACTCCTCCCACAGTTTTGGTCTTATTTCAATATAACTTGGCACACAAGTAGACTACACTAAGGTACATAATTCTATTTATCAGTTTCTCTTAAAATGCTACTCCAAATACAGTTTTAGTCTGATTATAATATAAAGTGGCATGAAAGTAGACTACACTGAGAACGTAAAGAGACTTTTTCAAGGATCATTATTCTATTTTTTTATTGAAAAGTTTCACTACTTTTCTCTTCCTTTGCTATAAGTACAAACCATAATCTTCAGTCTCGACAGTATTCTTTTCCTTTCAGAAAAAAAACTTTTCCTCAAATACTCCTTCATTTTAATTACTGTACTTTGTTGCCCAAAACATAATCTCTAAGTATATTTTCTTCAGTCAAAGACAAATCCGTTCTAAATGGTATGGTGTTTGTTTGTTTTTTATTTTACTATTAAACGAGGATAGAAAACATAACCCTAAAAATTTTGCATGCTAGTTTCTAACATTCTTTTTAATCAAAATTATTACATTTTGACAAAAATTTTTATTTACAAAACATTTTGATTATCTAAACGACTTAACACATTAACAGAAATAACAAATGCGAGAAAATTTTGTTCTGCATTTTATTTTAAGAAAATGTTTAAAGTACAAAGTTTTTGTTCATTGTGTTCCTCTTACCTTAATCTATTTCTAATTAAACAGCAAATTTGATTTTTGATAGCAAATCCAATTAGATTTAAAAAAATGTTACAGCAGGTAACTAAGCAAACAATGATTACAAGGCATAGTCAAATTTCCTATCCTAGTCACATTTTTAAAAAGAAAAATGGCCGCCATGTATGCAAATCAAAAATTATTGTGCTAGAGCTTTTCTATAACATCACAACACTCTGCTGTAATTTATAGTTTCAGTGTCCAGACCACCATTGTATAGGTTTGATTAAACAAAATATTAGCTTAACTTGACTTTGTCTCTGCCATGCCTTGCACATGCTTCATGGATCGAGATCAAAATATTTAAATGAAACATATAAAGATAAACAGTATTTAAGATCAAAAGTCCATAAAACAAAACAAAATAGGGGCAGAGCGAACACGGAAATCCAAAACATTAGAGGTGGGATCAGGTGCCATGGAGGAGTGAGCATCCTCTGCCAACCAGTCACACCAACCGGTCCCTTGTTATGATCGGTAAATAACGGGAAAATCCGTCGTCATTTCAGTGTAAATTTATACAAAAACTTCAAATTTGTTTTGTATAAGTGCATTCTGTAATCAGATAATTGAGATAAATATATTCTTCACATCAAACATTGAAATACTAAGTGTGAAAAAGTTTATTTTTGGTTCTTTTTATTCCTGGAATGCTTAGTGCCAACTTTGACAACAGCATGCATCAAATGTTGACTCAGGGCTTTTTCAGAAATATATCATGTCGATTAGTTCTTAAGAGGTAAAATGAATCCTTTTTTGGATTGAATAATACATCCCAAAAAGATATCTGAGCGTACAGTTTTAATAAGACTCTTTAATACCGTGTTTTTGTGCATTCTGCATTATAGTTAAATGTACAGTGTATTTAAAAAGTAGATATTTTGATCTCTTTTTCTTAACTGCACGTGCGACATGGCTGCTACAATTCAGAAGATTGTTGGCGACAATCTTATTTCTGAACTCTTTACATGGCAACATTATAGAGCAAGGATTTCATGAAGAAGTAGCTTAATAGGCCTCTTAAATCTTTTAAAATGCATGCATAAACCTTATTCATTCTGTTGTATTCAAGAAATATGTGTAAAGTAGTTTTCTTTCCATGTATAAGAATGTGGGTGTTTTTCTGGATCTGAAAACTTAAAAAAAATTGTTTGTTCTTCACTTCAAATGCAATTGAAAAAATTTGAATATGCTTCTTTAAATTGCATTTATTCAGATACTAAAGCTCCAAAACCGATTTATCGTACTTTTCAAAGCAAACTAAAGCTTTCAAATATATCAATATATATGTGTATTTATCTCTATTGTCATTATTGTTGACATGCCAGATTTCTTTTCATTCAGATTCTCTTTAATATTTGCTCAACTATTATTCGATTTAAAGATACAGAATCTTTGACAAAATACGTTATTTATCGTTTTTACAAAAGACAAAATATTGACCTTTTCCATAGTAGTGATATTTGATTTTTTCACCCTCTGCATGTTTTGATTAACAGTGTTTTTTTAATTCACGTTTCAACGGTTTTCCATATCTGTTTTTTACCGTTTAATATAGAGTATATTGTATCATTAATCATATCAATTTCAGTACAGATGAGAACAACCTTTTTTTTAAATCAACAATTCTTATTAATATCGCATACAACTAGAAAATCCGTATTTTTCGAAATAATTGGTATACAGTATTATAAAAAAAATTATATGATGATTTTTTTTTCAGCGGGATACCTGCATAGAGGTTATACAAATTTACCAGACAGCATGACAACAGGTTTAACAACTAATTCAAGTGTACCTCAACCAGACTCCAACGGAAAACCAGCTCTTTCCAACTGAGAAGATTGATGAATGTTCGTCTAAGACAATAGATTTAACACTGGTCACCACGACCCCTTTGATTTGATTCCTCTATTTAAAAAAATTAAATTTCAAAGATTTGTTTAATATCACCAAAATAAAGTATGTTCACTGTTTATTTTTCAGACTAGAATATTAAATGTATCTAGGAATTTTTCAGTGTTCGTTGAGGCTTCTAAAAGAGACGACTTGACATAAGCTTGTTAACGTTTATGCTGTTATATAGCCTCCTCTTTTAAATAGAACGGCAATATTCCTATCATGCAATACTACTTTTTCTTAGTATGAGGTCTTTCATGCTAAAAAGAATTTGGTACCTTTTTGTTATTTCCTAAATGTCTAAAGACTTTTTGTATATTATCATTATTTTATTTCTGAAAAATTGTGTGTATTTTTAACATTCTAAAATTGTTATTAAAATTTTATTTGTTATTATGTACACTGATGTACCTGAGTGAATGTTTGTTTTTAATTTAGAGTGATGCAATGTATTTATTTTATGTGTGCCAACCACTTGTCCTTATATATCCGGAAATTCACGTGATAACGTATTCATGAACGTATCCTTAAATAATTGTACATGCCTCTTTTCATTCTTTAACAAGGCATACGCACAAGAACAAAATGCAGAGAAAGTAGTTTCACCTAACTTTTGCAATTGGTTTCTTTCATTACAATATACCTGGTATTAAGTAAATTGGACTTGTGCAGACTGGTTCTATGTTCTTTGCTAAGTTTTAATGCTGTAAAATAGCCTATTTTCGAGAGGTCGATTTTTTTCTTGGTATAAAGCAATTTTTGTGTTAAGAGCTATTTCTCTGCAATATGAAATGATATCATTTCATGGGGCATGGGATATTTAAAATGTGTGGTTTCTCATACCAGGGAAACAACGAAAATCACCCCTCCCCCAAAAATGAATAAAATAAGCGATTTTACAGCGTGTTTTAATGTTTTGTTAATTTACACTAAAAGTTGTTGCCTTTATTCAAAATACATTTGTTCAAGAGGAAACTTTTATGTATTTGAAAGAGAATGTATGTGCAGAAATCGTCATGACTGTAGAAAGACGACACTTAGTGATTCGACTTGCAGTGATGAGTCTATTTTGTATGACTGTTAATTTTCTCATTTTTTAACTATTAATTAGTATTTGAGGACTTCCTCATGGATATAAAGTGGATATGTGATGTGTTTACATTGACTAATGCTAAAACAATGATTAACTCTGTAGAACTGAAAATGAGTTGGACCAATAAAAAATATGTGATATATCTCTTATTAGAACACGAATGTTTAAGCCAATTTTTAACAAAAGTTTTCACTTTTCAGAAAGTTTTAGAGGCGAATTGCTAACGTGATGGCGGAATCAAATGTGAATTCTTTCTTTGCTTTGTTGGATTTGTTTGCAGATATTTTAATTTTTTTTGCGTCGTTCTTTTGACAAGAGAAACTTTTGGCATGAAATACATTTTTTTTATTTTGTTAAGTACCAAAACTTCTAGTTAGTACATCCAGATAAGGTTTATTCTGTAAAAGAAGCATGCTTTTACAATAGATATTTGGTAGTAGCGTTTTATTTAAAAAAAATAAAATAAAAGGAACAGGAAGCCTAGCTATTTAGACAGAAGATTTGAAATTGTGACTACCGATTTATAGACCATTTCATATTTATACTAGTATATATTTATCAGCATTGTTATCATTCTGTTTTATAACTTTTGTTGTCAACTCAAACATAATCTAACGGATAAAAATTAATAGTCAAGAACAGTGTATATTCTGTGTTGTGTTACTGTGTGATTTGAACTTACTTTGCCTTGCTCTTTTTTTTCAATGAAATTGTGGTACTCTTGTTCAGAGTTAAACAACTCATAGGCGACGTGGCATTATTTTAAGAATTGAGTACATTAAATTTGTTTGATATATTTTCACTTGTGTTTTCCTTGGACAAAAATAGCTTTTTGAAATATGGATAGTGAAATATTTTACAACTGTAAAATAACTTATTTTAGAGGGCTCAGATTTTAGGTGAATTGAAAAGCGTGTTGGTTCGAGAGAATTTGATTTCATTGTAAAGAAGAATCATGATACTGGTATATAAAATTTTACCTTTTCATGGGAAGTCTTAAAGTATGGGATCCTTTAAACCAAAAACAACAACAACAACAACAACAAAATAACCCTTACAAAAATTAATGATTACCTTTTTACGGTAAAGGTATTCAATAAATGTATAATGACTAATTTATTATTCGTTGTGTCTTTATTATCTTTTGCAATGCTTTTGAAGATATATGTCATATAACGTAAACAGCTATGCAAAGCTTTCTCTTCTGAATCTCAATTTTCTTCTACAAATGTATCAGCAATTAAACCATGTTAAATAAAAATCGAAGCGAAGGGTTTTCGAGAGCTAACGGCGGGTGTGGCCAGTTGGAAAGGGATGCATTCTACTTCATGGCACCTGACCCCACCTCTGATGTTTAAGAGCTATATTTGGTCTGCTCCTGATTACTAGAATGTATTTAGTTAAACAGTCCACTTGAGTATGCACTTAAACATTATGCCAAAGTAAGAGGATACTTTCAGATTCAAGATATAAAATATAAAGTTTAATCAGCAGACATAATATTTTTCGTTGGTCTTTGTTGATGGTAGTTTCTTACCAGACTATTTCTGGGATTGGATCACAACACAACTATATATGTGCATAACGATCATTATTGTGAAACTTATGGAAAATGTATAAGAGTCCTATAAACGTGGTTGTGTTTTTAATTTCCTTCGGGGTGTTATTTTTGGAAGCAGGTTGGTTACTTTTTATCGTTCTAATTTAAGTATTCTTGAAAAATATTCAACAAAAGTCAACATTGTATTTATTTATTTTAAAAAAATGTCGATGAATCAGTTTAATACATGTTGTAAAATTTGATATTTTATCGACATTGTATAGGAGTTTTTTTTTAAGTTATCTAAATAGATAAATACAATTGCAAAAGAAACATGTTTATCTTATCTCGGATTTTGAGCATGCTCCGACACACCAAATAGGCATAGTGTAATAAATTACATAATAAAAGGTTTTCATTTATAGATTATCAACTAAGCCTACTGTGTTGGGTTTTTTAAAAAATTAAATTCAACCCAGTATGCAAAATGTCGAATTGGTGATAAAATATAAAATTTTATTGTTAACATATGCATGATGTAATGACGATTTTTATCGAGAAATAGTCAGGAACAAAGAGAGGTTGGTCCTACCTTTTTAAAGCATCTGTCAGTATGAGGAAACACTTCATAAAAAAGGGGGTTTGCAAGATGCTTGAATCAAGTAAAATTGTCTTAAAGAGAGACATCCTTCTTACTTTCAACAAAAAACATTAAATGAAAACTTCAGCCACAATGTCTTTGATACTATAAACAGATGATACCTATCATTCAAATCTACAAGCAAATTGAAGACAACAACGTGCCTAATAATATTTACATTTCCAATATGTCTTTGTCTGAGATAAAACTACAAATAGTCAAAAATACTTTATTGCAATATAAATCTATTGGTTCATCTAAAGGCGTGGTTTAAAAAAGTCACGCGTGGGGCAGGAGAAATAGAGACATAAGCGGGCTTGTAGCACGTGAGTTTGCAGAATCAGAGCATGTAAGTATAAGGAATAACTGTCAGATTTTTGGTTTAATGGCGATGATCAACCGATTGGCTTGCTTGATTTTATGCATAAACGCCTTTACTACGCAAGCCAATCGATTGATCACACCATGAAACCAAAAAAATATAAATAATATCCACATTATTGTCTCGGATACGTTTGCGTCAACGTTTGAACATACATCATGAAAATAAAAACTGCTTTTAGGAGAGATTGTGAATAAAAGTTAATCTTTAAATTGTAAGGGAAAAAACAACAACAAAAACAGCAAGGTTAATCGGTATGCTAATTAAAGAGACTTTACTATAAATAGAATATGTAAATTTACCAATTCGTTGATTTATGCTCGCAATACTTATAATTTTCTTAAAATGATTGAGGTGTAATCTTAACAAAAGGCGTTGAATACCATTTAAAAATCAAATAATATATTAAAAGATTAGTATTTTTCAGCCTCTTCATGCAACTATCCATCTGACCTTCAAAATGGAGTGTGGTATGATAGCAATAAGGGTCAGCTGACTTATAAAACCAATAAAATGACAGGGTACAACTCTTCAATTTTCCAAACCTGGACTTCAGAATGGACTTGCTTCCTTAGGGACGGCGATTACATAATGTCAAAGTATACACATTTCAGTCAGTCTTTCTAAAATAGTTTACCCATGATTTACCCATATTACTAATTTCATTTTGATGACCACTTGATATAAAAAAAAGATTATGTTCCACCTGAGTTGTATGCATTTTATGAATCTTACGTCATGTAATGTAATAATTATTGTATCAAAAGACATCAGTATTTTGAGTACAAATAAAAGAAATGTAAAATACGAAATGGGTCCGCACTTTAAGGCAAACAACAAAAACATACTTCAGAGCATTGGACGACATGGACCTCCTATGAAAAATTGAAGTAATATGAGTTTTGTGTAAATGGTTGTAAAGATGGGCCACCAAGAACATTATTGTGGTTGGAGATTTGTACCTTTAACAGCAACTTAATTAGATCGTTATGTGCAAGTTGCACAGCTATATCTAGTAACGTTGCGATAAAGTTGAGATAAGATCGTATTACATAAAAAGCATTTGTTGCTCAACTGAAAAAAAAGTTTCTTGACATAGGAAAAGGCATAAGACGTTGTTGAAAGCTGTTATAAATATGAACATTTTTTTTTTTCAATGAACCATTTTATCAGGCCCATAAGTAGGAGTTTAAAAATTCGTCTTAGCAGAATAAAACCAATTAAATAAAAAGAACAGTATAAACATAGAAGCAATCGTCTAATATCTGGAGATTTTCTTTAAATCCTCAAAGTTTTATCTCGTTTTTATTTCCTACAAAATGCCTCGACTATCTGGGTATATTCACACACCATTCTCTAATGCGGAAATAATTTCTTAAAACAAAAATTAATTTCTTAAATATTTTTTTTTTTTGGAAGTGAAAGTAATGAAGCTCTTGAAGATTAATCAGTCGTTATTGGCGATAAAACAAATCGTTATTTATTATTTTCACAATTACAGGGCCAACAGTCAGATATATTTATTTGGTACAGAAGTTGATGCCTACCTTTGTCAGCTGATGACAAAAATCACAAGTTATTCCTATTACTATTACATAGAAGGAGGTAATTTTTTAATAGGGTAAAGTAACTAGTTTAGAAATAATAATTAAGATTGTCGTTATTCTAAAACGAATTTATTTCACAATTACAGGGCCAACAGTCAGATATATGTATTTGGTACAGAAGTTGATTATTTTTAATTATTTCCATTAAAGTAACTAGTTTAGAAATAATAATTATTGTATTCTATATCCATTTTTTTTTTTTGAAAATGTGATTTAGTTGATGAATTTTAAATTAAAATTTTGAGTTTGTGCTTTATTGCACTAGAAATCCACCGAAATGCAAACAATGATAGAATGAGCACTTTCTATGGGGGATCAGCTGTGACGTTAGCTCAAGCGTGTGCTAAGTCGGCCCCAATACGAACAGAAGAGTTTCACGTTCTTGTAAAGTCAAGTATATTTCTTTTCGTATTGTAACGATATTTTATTAAAAGGTAAACACACTGAACTCGATTACTGTTGTTATAAGTCTTATTTGACATGTTCTATTAAATTTACTTTCACTGTGACAACAAAAAAACCCCGAATAATTGATTATTAGTTTAATTTGTAATTTTAAAAATTAATAAAAAATTAATTTTAAGAAATTAGAAAGTGAACCAAACCGATGAAAAGTGGATTTTCTGCGAACTAACATCCCTCCTTAGATAGATCGGTGATCTTCCTTAAATATTCAGTTCATTTTTCAACGAGCCAAGTTTTTATTCTCCCATAAATCTAAACGCACTGTTGTACGACTCATATTTATTTCTTGCAGCAAATATGGCAGACGTCAAACAATGGCTGCCAACACCGTTGCTAGGCACATTTGAGTACACCAAAGTCACGTCTGCTGGTGTTTCTTCCTGTGGTACAGGATCTGTCTGGGACGTCTGCAATAACCGAACGACCATGACCTTCAACATGACACAGTGCAATTCAGTAGTTGCGTATTCTCGTGAGTTCATACACATGGACATTGTGCTCATATAGTTTTTGTATCTTTAAATCTCAGAAATGTTAGCTCTTCGATGAGATTTGCACATAGACTGTGTGGATATTTAAGGACAAGCTTCATGTTTATGCCTATGACAACAATACTGTCAACTCATGTTAATTTTGGCATTATGTTAAAAAAGATAAAATTAATTGCAAGTTTTTGTCGACTTTTTGAAATCCTTTAATGAAAATTTAAACACTTTATACAACAGTAAAAAATTACACTGGTTTAAAATTAAGAGAGAAATCGCAAATTAATGTGGCAAAAGATTCATAATCGAGAATCGTTGAACCGATAAAAAATTTTGGTAGACAAAAGTTGAAGCAAGGATTTCAAGTTTTTGTCAGACACGACTTTTTACATTGTGAATAACACATGCAGTAAACTTCGCGCCATAAATAGCCTTATTACGATATTTCAGAAGGAAAAGTTTATGGTGTGTTCTATGTGACAAAAGGGTCTACATATTACGTTGTTGTAGTGAATCCAGGTACTGTGGATAATTCAAAGTATTTCCGTTTTACCTGTATGGTAAGTATTTACTTTCTTAATATTTGAATAAAAAACTTAAGATAAACAGAACATTTTAAACATAGAACCAATGAAAGAAGGAAAAAAAAGTACTAGTTTTTTTTTTTTTTTTTTTTGGTTAAAGTCCAAAGTCAGAATAACGTCGATGAAATTATTCTTTTTTTAAATTTAAGGCTGTAACACAATCAGGAACTACTGTAACAGTCGTAGAGAAGAGCGGAAGTTGTGGACCAGGACAAAACACCACAGTGGCTCCATCTGGGGGTTCTAAGTACACCTTGACACCATATGGTAGGGAACAGGGTTACTTTTTGCTAATGATTAATGAGAAATAAACTTGTTTTATTTCTTTCCCAAATATTTAGCTTGAAATAGGATGGAGGGAAGAGATAGATAAGAAAAAAAAGGAACAATTCAAAAAGAAAGCAACATCTGATGAAGCAAATAGAAATAATAGATTAAATACCGTCAGTTTATTAAAGGCAAAATATGATTAACAAAATTAATGAAATGAAGAATTTTAAAAAGATGATATTAAAGCTAATGTGTTTGCAAAGGGTTAAATGTTTTAGTCATTATCAGATTACAGATACATGTATTTTTAGATTCATAGGGAGTTTGGTCAATTTAAAATTTGTTTTAATATACATGTATTCTTTATTGTTGAAGCATGGAAAAAAATATTCTGGCAAGTAACAATACATGACAAGCGTATTATTTAGAATTAGAAAGGATTTAAAATTTAGCTGAGAACATGACCAATAGGAACTGATTCTCAGAAATAAAGAGAAATGTATGAGTAAATGTATATTAATTAACAATCTAAGTACTGCATTTTAATTATTTGTGTCAATTTAGTTCGATGTTCCTTACCTTTCTGATATTTTTTCTTCATTGTAGTAGCCTGTTGTAAGTATGATTATCAGTTACCTTAGATACCGATCTGTTACTTCCGGATAAAATTGTACATTTCCCCTTTTCCTCCCACGCCATAGTTTTCGAAGCCGCCTGGTCGGGGATAGGATGGATGGGAGTCAATCCACTCAAGTTTAAATTTAAAAAAAATGGAAGAAGAAAGGTGCTGAATTTGGAGATTTCCAAATGCAGACGACCCTCTCGGGCCAAAAATACTTAAATATCAGGAAAGCCTAATGGGTTAATAAAATTCTAGGTAGTATGCAAAGCTATATTTGTCTTGTTAAAAAAATTAATTCATGCTGTACAAAAAAAAATCACTCGTAGTGCAATATTGTGTGCAGCGCTTATATTGAAAGAATAAAGTGGAAAAACTCATTTTAATTTTATACGAGTAAAACGTTTAAAAAAGAATTTAAAATGTTATATGTAAAAAAAAAGGCCAGTTTAATTCAGTGTTAAAAAAAACGTAGAATGATTTTTTTTAAACCAACGTGCCTTGTTATCCGGAATGGACTAGCATCCAGCTACCGGGAACTTTCTCCAAAAAGTTCACTTCCTAAAACAACTAGTTTCTCACAGAAAAAAAATAACAATTTCAATAAGTGTAATGGGACATTGTGAGCATTGTCAAAATGTTTGGCTAAAAATATGTAAAAAAAAAAAAAAAAAAAAAGATTCAGACACTTTCAAACACACTTTGGACATTACATTTTTAATACACCCCAAGGCTGTAATGCTGAACAGAAATCGACCAACTGCTAACTATAAATTGGACTTCATATTCACGGTTGGACGATAAATTCATTGATTTATGCAGGTACATGTTATATTTTTCTTAAAATGGTTTTATCGTAATTTTGACTTAATGTATCAAAGGTCTTTTAAAAGTAAAATAATTCTCAAAGAATTCTTACTTTTTAGCTTCATGGTGCAACCACTAGTCCAACCTTCACAACGGAGTATGTAATAAGGTTAATTAACTTATATAACCAATAAAATGAGATATAACATTTTTCAATTCCGCGTTATTTGTATCGATCTGCTTTCTGAAAGACAATGACTACTTTCTACAAAAATATGAAACAGTAAGGCAAATGCTTCAACATGTACATGTATATAGAAATTATTGAAGCAAGAAAAAATAGTAAATACCTATGTTCATATGTCTTTTTTAGAATTGTACGGAAAATTCACTTTAGCTTAAAAAAAGTACTGGTTTCTGCACTTGATTTTTGATAAACCAACCAAAATTAACTGTTTTGCTTGCATGTTTATAGTTTTTGAAATGACAGTCCGGTGGATGTATGTGGTACTAATGTTTAAGAGATAAAGTAAGTAAACTTCGTATATTTCTTTTGTTATATTTGTATCATAATACTGTTCAGAATGTCCTGTTGTAGATGTAACATAGTAATTCGATCCTGATAGAATATTAACATATGATAGGTCGACATAAGGTGCTCACTCCTCCATAAAAAACATGGAGTCTTAATTCAAATCAAGAGTAGAGGAAACACAGACTTCTAAAATATCAGATGTGGAATCAGGTGCCATGTAGGAGTAAATATCCCTTGTTGACCGGTCACCCGCACCGACTTACTGATAGATTGCATTTGCTACCAATGTCATTGTATCGACCATAGGACATACAAAATTATGACTTTAAACGAGGCTGTTGATATTCTTGATTTATCGACTTGTTTGTCAATAGCTTACCTCGTTTAAGAAAAATGTTTATACATGGGGCATTTTCCTGATCTTTAAGAAAATATGTGCAGAAAACCAAGTGGGACAGACTGACAGACAGACGAAGGGACAGTTATACGGACAGACAGACGAGGTGATAACCTTGTTTCATCGGTAGGGGACTAACTACGTCATATTAGTTAGAATTTACAGCAAAAAGCATCTGTATTTATGAGATCTATTGATATTTATTAAGAAGTATTAGAATCTAAATTTAATAGCTAACCGAGTAAAACAGTATTTGCTAGGTTGGAATAGTTAACGTTTCATAAAATCCGTGGTAGTTTATAAAAAAGAGTAAACTTTTAAAAGATAATAAGATTAATGCTCTTAAAAATGACATTAAATTGTACAACATTTTACTAAACATGTATGTCAGACAGTTGATATATTTTGACGTCGACCCAAGGAACTATGACGTAGGAAATACAGTTTCTATGATGAAAAGAAATGAAATGGTGCTTTACAACCAGATTCAATTTTTTTGTAAAGGATAGCAGTCTCTTAAAACATATCGTCTAATTTTTCAGAATTTACAAAAAGATTTTTCCTGCTATGGACAACATCTACAGTGCTACTTGCAGCAAATGGGTAAATTGTTATATTTAAAAATCAAAAGACATTGAGTGTTTAAACATTTAAAAAAAAAGAATGTATAAATCATGAAGATATTCTTTGAGTCATTAACGACAAGAGTAACATTTTCAATACTTTGCAAATAAATTCTCACGATGTGACTTACTATGGAACACTTAAATGAAATAATAAGGTGAAGAAGGGTCTTAAATAATTGCAAAACATTTAAAATCCTCTTCAATATATAAGCGATGACCCGAGTAGTAATTTTTATTCTCAACCTTGCACGCCATCAGAATAGTAGAATATTTAAGGTCTTTAAAACAACCACTTACCTTTATGCTAATTTAGAAATAATTTTCTTTGAGTCCACATGGTATTCACTCGTTTAAAATCGATTCTCTGTTATTTTTTAGTCAAAATAATTTTTTAAAAGCACATGACAATATATGTTCGTATTAAAATTTTTTTTTACTGTTTCGACCATGTAACATTTTTCGGAGATTATATTTATTAAAACAGGATTAGAATAACGTTTACGACATTGTAATTTCAAACAATATTTGGAACATTATATTGAAAATGTATATTAGACTTTTCGATGTGATTGTGTTTATATTTTTTATTGGAAATTTGTTACTGCTATCAGGTAGGTTAATTAATTATGTTAAAATAATAATAAATTGTAAGAGAAGTAAATGGGATTTAAAAAGGATTTATAAAGCTGGAAAATATTTCAGTTTGTGGTATTTTATCCATGTCGAATTGAACAATTTACCATTTATCAACCGAATCCGGGTAATGATTAAGCTTATTTTAAATAGAATCAATTTTGAAGAATTTATTAAAATAAAAGATGTGATGAAAGAGGTGGGCATTTTCTTTTCTCATTTTTATTCATTCTGAACAATATATGACTTTATCTTCCATCATATATAGTGTAACAACCGACTATATATTTATAGCACAAAATTGTTCAGAGTTTCCATGGAACACACAGAATGAATTGTTAAGATTTGTTTGGATATATGGGAGACATATGGTCAGTACTTTCCCTTTTTCCTTTTATCAGAAGTTTCACTATGTGATCTTTTTGAGCACTTTATGAGAAAGATCAAATTTTGAATTCAGAATATACATAACTCAAAACTACTATCACACTACTTGAATTGACGTGAACTGTAAAGATTTTTTTTAACAAGGTATGACGCATCAAATTGAAAAAAAAAATGATAACATTTTTACAAAAAGGAACCAAAATCCCATAAATTATAAGTCTTAAAACAGTCAATGAGTGTTTTTGCTGAAAACTGAAGAGAATGTATTTTTTTTCTTTGTGTCTAAATACTCTCACAAATTAGAAAAACGTATCTGTAAACAGTGAAGAAAGCATGGATCCCTAGAAATTCCAGAAGGGGGATCGGGTGCCTAGGAGTAGAAAGCATCCCTTTTTGATTGATAAAACCCGCCGTAAACCCTGTGTACTGATCAGATGGACAGAACATTTCGCTGTAATATTTTACTATAAAAACAAAGGCCAAACAGTTGTTATGAAACACGTCATCAATACCAGTTGCAAGCGATAGGCTATATTCGTATATTGGGTCATTATAACAAGTATAGAATTTCCAAAATGTTGACTTTAAACGAAGTCGTTGAAATCCCAGTAAAATCAAAAATTGATTTTAAGATATCCGATCCATAAAAGGACATAATTTTCTAATCTTAAATATCCATCCTATATTAAATACTCAGAAACTAATTCAAAGCAGTTTAGAGTAGAAAACGATTTACCAAGAGAAATTTTCAAAAACATAATTACTTGAGCAGAAATTAATTAATTCAGAATGCATTGAGGTCAATGGGAAAAAGCAAATTTTTAAAAATAAAAATGCAAATATTATGAATATCAAAAAATACTATGATGAAATGATGCATATGATTATTAAGAATAGAAAAAACGATTTAAAAATAATTTTTCACCAGATAGATTTTTAAAAAATGAAATTTATTGATTAAAAGCAAAGGGGGATAACTCTTAAAGGAGGAGTCAAGGTAAAGATTTAGGACACATTCCACTCTTACATATAGAAAAACATGAAGATTATGTCTACACATACTGAATATTCAGCCAATATATATCTGCTATGCATTCAAATTCATTGAATCTGAGGCTATTATGGATCGGATACCTAAGAAGAAGACCGCATTTAGAACATGATCTTGAGTATCGAATAAGTTAGGAGATAAACGCTACGAAGATGATAGCGGAATATCAATGTTAGATATGGAAAGTTGAAAACGAAAAGCTGAATGTTTCTCATTGTCATTCAATTTAGCCTTTAATTGAAAGTAAAGTTTGTGTTTTATTTCAAGTTCAAATGTATTAATCGAGTCGACAAAATGTGAAAAATTTAGCTAAAACATTGTAAAATAGTTGATAAGCCCTTTACAAAAGTAAAATTTATCAATAAAGAAGACATGCAATCTTGCAAGAGAAACGTTTATTCATCGTAAACTTCAACCGTTACGGTTTCTACAAGACTTTTTTGCATGACCTTAATACTCAGTAATTATTGTTTAGTTTTTGAATATGTTATTTGTGTTCATGTAATCATAGACACAGAAAATATAGAAAAAAAGACTGTTACTTAGGAGAAACAAATATTGTGTAGACAAAGACAAATATTGTTTCACTCTTTCCTTCTAATTTTGCGAGGCGTTACTAGAAAACATGATAAAAGCTTTGATAAAAAGAAATTACACCATATTCTTCGCATTTGCATTACGCTATTTAATGTTACTTACCGAATTCTTTGTAGCAATAAAGTCAAGCATGTAATATTTCATGTCCATCATACTGTACATATCTTCTCTTCACTGTTTTATCAGTTATGAGAATAAAGTTCAAGTTAAAGAGTGAAGTTGTATAGACGATATCTATAATACAGTACATACGTAAACATTTGCTTTTTACAAATATATTTAGCACACTTTGCTTGCTTCGAGTTCATCATAGTTTTACAAACTCATCTGTAATGCATTACAGATGAATTTGTAAAGCTATGTTGAACTCACTTTATTGAAAATTCAATTTAAGATTGATTGATTGATTGCATATTGTTTAACGTCCCTCTCGAGAATTTTGCACTCATGTGGAGACGCCATCACTTGCCAGTGAAGAGCTGCCAATTTTTCCCTATTCTCAGCACTCAGGGCCACTGAGTTGGGAGGGATCTTTTTTATGCCATTACCTACTGCGTTCTCCAAGTGCCACAGTGTAATTAAAATTCAATTTATGTAAAAATAACAAAGACATAAATGATTCCACTCTATATATGTCAAAGAAATACGCACGCTAACTATCGATTCTCGCCTGCATTTTGCAACCATTTAATTCAATATAAATCACCCCTGCTAATGTTATTGTGATTTAAATTCAAGACACGTGGTTAAGGTTGGCCCAATCAAAGGTTATATAATGGAACTGGTTTTATAAATAAAATTGGCAGTAAATAGGAAATTGGTATAGTCTGTTTGAATATCGTCTGATGTCCTGTAAAATATTATCGTTTTACTAACAGCGTGACAGTTTGCTTGATAGGGCGTGCTAAAAATTTCGTATGCTGATTATCATTTTACTCATCGATTGGATGTCTGATTTCAAAAGAATCAATAGTACTTTGCATATGAAACACAAAACCCAGCAATACCACTGACAAGACTGACCAATTGCATTGAATAAACAATTACATGTGAACGGACAAAGCAAGTTTTACTTCCTATGATATTGATAGCTACATAGTACAACAGTAGCAGAGTAGCCTTACTAATTCCATTCTTTAAACTTTCTTAATACGTATTTAAAAAACCCATCCGGTCAAATCACAACAAATAGAATACATGCTTTTTGGAGGAGAGAAAACGGGCTTTGACTGACCACGTGTTGCCGGTGACTACAAATGCCGTACTGGGAAACAACCATTCAATGTGATTGGCCAGTATTATCAGGATATTGTTGTACTCCGAATTTCATATGCAAATTAGTATTGATTTCATTGATCCAATCGATGAGTAAAATGATAACCAGCACACAAAATTTTAGCACGCCCCATCAAGCGAACTGTCACGCTGTTTGTAAAATAATATCATTTTACTAACAGCGTGACAGTTTGCTTATCGATTGGATGCATTTTACTTATCGATTGGATGCTTTATTTCAATGGAATCAATACTAATTTGCATATGAAACTCAGAATACAATATCCTGAAAATACTGGCCAATCACATTGAATGATTGTTCACCAGTGCGGCATTTGTACTCACCAGCAACACGTGGTCAGTCAAAGCCCGTTCTCTGTCCTAAAAAACATGTATTATTATATTTGTTATAATTTGACCGGATGGTTCTATATACGTATAAGAAAATTCAGAGAATGGAATTAGTAAGGCTACTCTGCTACTGTTGTACTATGTAGCTATCAATATCATCATTATAGGTTGTAAAACTTGCTTTGTCCGTCCACGTGTAATTGTTGTTTACTGCATGCAAGTAAACATGTGATTCTTTACGATTGGTCAGTATTGTCAGTGGTATTGTTGGGATCTGTGTTTCATATGCAAAGTATTATTGATTCCATTGAAATCAAACATCCAATCGATGAGTAAAATGATAATCAGCATACAAAAGTTTAGCACGCCCTATCAAGCAAAATGTCACGCTGTTTGTAAAACGATAATAATACAATTTAATAAAAAGAATGCTTTTCATTTACGAAATGGATGGAAAATTGGTCTTTGTGCCTTTCCGATCGCCATAAGATATACCTTTTCTTTCAAGAGTAAAATTCCTGTAGTATTCGTAGTAACCCATAATGTAATTCTCATTCAGCTGATTTGTGAGTGAAAGTCATGTTGGTGCCTCATTTGCTAATCTGACGCCAAAAAACATAGTCCCAGTTCCCATTCAAGAATATTTGTCCTAAAGGAAATTTTAATTCATGACTGCAGAAATTGTATCATAGAGAATATTTATTTAAGTTTTAATGAATTCAAGAGAGATCGATTAAAGTACATTTCTACAGATATTATAGGGTGGTGAAAACTGAAACGCAACATAACTTTTCTGTTTACCATGACTCCACGTGCATGTCACTTCCTAGCCACATTTCCGTGAATAATTTACCCTATCTCGCTGTAGAGCTACTCTGAACTCATCGGGTTTTATAATGTGCAGAACATCAAAAAATAAAAGGTTCCGAACACATTAGTAGGGGGTGTAAATGGCAATTTGTCAATATATTATTTGTTTAATACAAAGAACAGTTCAAGGGAAATTTATGAATTGTCATAAAACCAGCGCTAAATAGTAAATTTGCCACACCTCTAGCGCTTGAAAAGGGGGGGGGGGGGGGGGTACACGAAAATTTCCATTGAAATCGAACTTTCAGGCATCACCATATTTTGAAATAGTCTTGGATGTGATTAAATGTTCCTTATATCTTCTCTTATGTTTAAGGCAAATAAATAAAACATGAATATATTAATAAAATATAATGTTTCGTTTTAAATCGCTTTGGAATTGGTGGAAAGTAAGCATTTTGTCGTTTTTTGTCAATAAACATATGCCCCCCCCCCCCCGTGTCACACAAAAAGTTTTGGTATGAAGTTGTGAAATAACAGTCCATATTGCCTGTAAAAAGGAATTTTTGTGACACGGGGTGGGGGGAGGAGATGTTTTAAAAATATTTTCCGTTTTCCGTTGATTTCTATAGTAAAAGAAACACGTTTTCCCAAAATTTTAGAGTTATCTCTCTTTGTTTTCCCAAATAAGTATTGTTTTATGAAAAACCATATTATCATCTATAAAAAATATCAAAAATTCATCGAATATGAAAATTGACTTGGGGGTACAGTAGGCGGGAGAATAATGCTATCGTTCGCAGTTCTTTAGTTTTATACAAAATCTTAACTCAAACAATACTTAACACACAAAACTGCTTTTACTTCTGACTAGGTGGTTGAAAAACTATGCATATAATCATAAATATTTTCATTAAATAAATTTCAGACTGTGCTTGCAACTACCCTGTGAACCTTCAGAACGGAGTCTGGTTTGACAGCAATAAAGGTCAGCTGACTTACACAACCAATTAGATGACAGGTTACAACTACTCATATTACAATTCCGGGGGTTCAACATGGACCTGTTTCTTAATAGACGGCGACTACGTCGTGTCAAAGTATGCAAAATGTCTTTAACTAGTTTATCGATAACTTAACACAAAGTGCATTATTTCAGAAACTAGTATATGTTCCCTGATAGAGAAATATAAGAAATGGTAAGCATATTTTAAATTATGGATGCTCTTAACGGACCTGAAGTCAGTTTGATAATATAAAGAAAAGGTTATAGGCCGAAAAATGTCCATTCTGTGAGAAGAAAGAACTGCTGGAGGGCCGTTAGAAAGCAAATAAACTTGGAAAAAATATCAAAATTCCTTGCGTGGCCAACTTTATTTATCTTAAAAAGTTTTAAGTACCTCAATACACAGATAAGTTTAATGTAGGGCCTTGTATTGAAATGTCCAAGTCTTTGCACTAATGACATTCGCGTACATGACAATGAATCCAACTTGAAAGCTGGTGGGTTTTGGATTAAGTTAGACATGGAAAAAATTGTTTACGATTAGAGTTTCCATATCAAAGGAAATCATTGATCTTTTAAGAATATACAAGGAATTACAAGAGTTTTCAGTACTATCTCTTTTCTTTTAAAAAGTATTATAAACGTTCTTGAAGTCATTCGTCTCTCTCAAACTACGCATACTTGATGTTTGCATCATTACCATTTATAATTGCAGGGCCAACAATCCTTTAATTTTATTTGGGGCAAACTTTGATGCTTACCTTTGTCAGTTGATGAAGAGAATAACCATTTATTCCTATTACTATTACATTGAAGGAGGTAATTCCTATTCTTTCTTTTAATTACTACTTTAAGAATGTTACATAAATATGATAACCAGATTTGTTCTTTTATAGGTTTATTAAAGTAATATGGTATTACAAATGATAATGATAATGGCAGTACTGACAGTGTGTCCAACTAGGGCCACAATGCATAAACTTTAGGTCAAGGTCACCATCGACCACAGAGATACTGTACAACAGTTGGTACACCTAGTTAGAATTCAGCTTCAACAATGTTCAACCTTGAAACAGCCTTCATAACGCGAAACATTTCGTGCAAAATCATAAACTATGAAGTCACGTGATCACAGGAAGTGATGTTGAAATTATCAAAATATTAAACAATACATTTAACCAAAACCTTTTGTGTATTTTCCAGCATTATTTGAAAAATGACAATGACAAAAATTATTTTAAATGAAAATCTTAAACACTTTAGCTGAACAGAATTTCTGTTACTAAAAATAGATGTGGAAATTCCCCTTAATGACAAAAAGTGTATGACAACAAAGAGAGATAACTCTATTGTGAAAATCACCACATCACATAAATGATAATTTATTTTCAAAAAATTCATTTCGTTTGTAAATTTCAAATCCAAATATTGTTTCTAGAATACCTAAATGGTCCAAACAGTGACAGAATGAACGCTTTCATCCCCGGATCAACTGTAACATTAAACCAAACATGTGCTACGTTAGCTTCAATTCCAACAGAAGAATTTCATGTTCTCGTAAAGTCAAGTATGTAAAAATCGGCATATTTCTTAATCTATCTTTAGTCCATTACAGAAAAAATGAACGTTGATCTAGACGGTCACAGGGTAGAGGACATATTGATAGAAGTAATTTTTCAAGCAGA